AAGTAATCTAACATTGAGCCCCCTACTCATCGGAAATTGGCACTCTGATTACTCGATCTAGAACTTCGTTGCCGTCGACAGACTAAATCGTAGCGTCGAAATACCCATCTGGGAAGACCTTGAGAACGACACAGCAGCATTTACTTTTATATCGTGTGTACTTCATTAAGATTTTCCCAAAGATTATTGCCGATGCCATTCAGTTTTATATTTATAACATAAATCAATACTGGAAAAGACTCAATCAGAATATTTTATTTATTATATTCGACATACAAGCATATATATCTATAAATCACAGAGTATTATGTTATTGAAAAACCAATCTAGAATACTCTTTAATGTGAGTGTAGGATTTTACACATTAGACATCTTCTCTCATCTCTTTTTTTATCATTTAGTCTAGTTTAGTGTCATTCTGAGCCAATCGATTTGCAATTACGGTACAATTGATGAATAAATTTATCTTAATGTCTTTAACACAGTATATACAACCTACACTCCTTTCATGGACAAAAATAAATACTTTTTTCAGTTGTTTCTTATTTTTCTCTCTCTTTTGTATGATTAGATATGACTTTTTATGTCATTGTATGAGTAATAAAGTAAGCTATATTTGTATAAGCATATTATATTTTATTTACCTATTATTCTGTTTTATTATGCATATATTTCAAAATGATCTATTTTTGTAATATTGAGAGAATACAAGCAATAATGCAAAAACGAAAAAAAAAATCCTATTTATCCTTTTCAAGTTTTACAGTGTAAATAGGCATAAACGTATTTTTTTTTAAAGTTGATCATATTTTTGCACTCGAAAAGCTTTACAAATGGTCGTGCCCTCTATTAACAATAATCGATGATATTAAAAATAACTCAATATCCTTTTGCACTTTAATATTATTAATGCTCATGCACGTGGAAAAAACTGCTGCATCATTACATTTCTTTTCTCGCTCATTTTTTGTCTACAAAGGTATTACTATTGTTCTTTTGATTGATACAATTTGCATTTTTCTTAACAGTTCAAATAATTATTCATGTCATTCCTTAAGGAAAGAATTATATGATCGGATTAGCAATAACCAAACTACTGTCCAAGAATTATTATTTAAACTGTCGCTTATTTGCTGCGAATGAAAAATAAAATCCAAATTAATTGATTATCATAGAGTTAGTAAGATGCTGAAAATGCAAAGTTAAAGCAGATTTTTTTTCTCTTTTTTTTTATATATGCTGAGATAGAGTGCGACGAGCTGATGAAGAATGTTGGCGCTTTCATTTTTTTTAAATGAGCTTTCAGGAGAAAATTTTTAGGTTTTTACAATGACCTGCTTTATATGAAAAGTATATCAGTCTGTTTCTTTCCTTAAAATTTTGAAAAGTGTTTCATTTCAGATTCAGCATACAAAACTGAATATAGAAAAGTCATTGATAGATGATTTATCTATTCTCAATTTTTGACCCTAAATCTGAAAAAAATACTTTTGAACTTTGAAGAAATCAAAAAAAAATTTGACCTTTTTACATAAACTGTAGGTCATCGAAGAAGACCTGAAATATTTCCCCTGAAAACTCACTTACAAAAAAATGAAACACCAAAATTCTTGATCAGCACATCACGTCCTATTTTATTAACTGGATTTTCTTCTTCTTTACTTACATTATGTTTTCTAAAGTAATGTTTAAAATTAAAAACTAAGTTATTTATGTGAATTATATTTAACTTAAATAAAATAATAATACATTATAAAACTTTAAATTGATTCAAAATTTGTGATGTTGTGACAAACAATGTTGTTTTTATCAAACTAATAGGAACGATAGATTTGTTTTGATTTTTCTTTTTTATTTCGTTTTCTTTTAGATGTTTAACATATTATAGTGGGATGAAAAGACGGTCATACTGATGGAAGAGATGAACTATTTATCTTCTTGCTTCGTCCCACCATCACTGTCTTGCAGTTTGACGATAAACGTATCTGGGCTCCCTTTTGTTGTAATATCAGCTGTTTATTTTGTTGATGACTCATATAGCGAAGAGAGCCATAATTCATTCACGCCATCTTAGTAACTTATCGAATTGTTAATGATCGAATTAATTGCTTCTTTCATTGGTTGTTTTTCACAACCAATCTTGTTATCGTCGACAAGCGATGGTGTTAAATCAAACATAGATAAACGATTCTGATTTTGATGATGTTGAACGATTTTCGAATTTGATGTTATTTTTTTGTTCTTGTTGACTAATTTTTTTATTTTGTGCTGTTCGTTTTTTGAGACAGACTTTGGGTTCTGAATTTTGTATGATTACGAGAAAAATTGTTTGATTTTTAATCGTTCTAATTTTGTTTTTTAGTACTCAAATTCCATCGACGAACAATGAAGGCACCTTGTATTTGATAACGACTTATATTTAATTCAGTAATAAAAAAATTGAAATGAGCAATAATCAAATTTAGCAATAAATATATTGAATGAGCAATATGTATAATGAATGAGCAATAAATATACTGAATGATCAATAATTAATTTTAGTAAAACATAAATGTATATAAAAGAGGCGATTATAATTCGTTTGTTTACAACAATAAGTGTTTTCTCAACTTTATGAAATACTATATGTAATTTATACACATGGCTCAATCGCAAAGTGTAGCACACTATATTTCTGATTCTGAAAATGACATTGATATGAAAATTCAACCTTCTGGCAACACTGAAACAGTTAAAAGAAAACAGCAAAACAGGCGAAAATGGGTAGGGTGTGGGGTGTTGGTGTTGCTTTCAGTTGTGTATTTATCCATACCCACACCCAACCCTCACGCCCAACAACAACCATACTCAACCATAATAACTAAGTAGCTCTTTGTCTGATATCTGGTTAAAGTACCAGAACTTTCATAGCTGTGAATCTCCATATTTTTCGCTACGAACTTAATTCAGATAGTATTCAAGATGTCATATCGAGAGTTCATTTTTAATCGAAACGGGCACACCGACAAATATCAAAGCCATTCAGATTACTAAGGTAACCATGATGATCATTATAAAAGTAGCAACACGTTACACTAGAACCATTAGGACGACGATGTCAACGATTTTCATCACATACAGTGGTTTGCAAAAGAACTTGGAACAATTAGTCAACACAAAGATTTAATATTTCCTAGTTTTTTTGGAGGGCATCTTTTGCTGTTATCGTAGATTTATATTTAGTAGATTACAGGGCTCGAAACGGGCCACCCAGCCCGGTGGCCCGACCCGGCCCAACCCGGCCCACTTCGTAATAGACATCGGGCCGGGCAGGCCTTATCAGAAAAGACCGATGGGCCGGGCGGGCTCATTTTTTTGTCGGGCCGCCCGGCCCGAAGTTTCACATAGATTTTTTCACTATCATATTTAGATGTCGCTAAAGAGTGGAATAGTGAACGTTTCATATTATGGAAGATTGATTAAATTATAATTGGTTCATTTATCCGACCATTCGTAGTATGATAGTTATCGAATACTTCTTTATTCATTTTTATTTGTGTTTTTGTTTGATGGATAATAGATTATCTTTTTGTAGATAACGTTACTATTGTTGCGTTAAATAGTATTAACACATTTGATACTTATTTGTTATTGGTGTTGTGAAATTGATGAAAAATTTTTGTTTTTGTTGGATAACTCTAGTGCTATTACGTTGCATAGTATGACACTTTTGATACTTATTCATTATTGTTTGTTTTAGATTGATAATCCTTTTTGCTCAACGATTTATTATTCTAATAAATTATATTAAAATATTTAATTTATATTTATTACTACTGTTGTCAAATTGATAATAAACTATCTGTTTTTTCGATCATTTCATTATTATAATATTTATTAGTATTTCAACATTACATATTTTTTTGTTACTGGTGTTATTGAATTGATAATTAACTAATAGTTAATCATTGATAGTTTTATTATCGTTATATTCAATAGAATTAAAAAAATCAAATATTTATTTGTTATTAGTGTTGCTAGATTGATGATAAATTATTATTGTTGTTGGACAACTGTATTATTATTACATTGAATAGTATTAAATATTTGATATTTATTTGTTACTACCATTGTTCCATTGACAATATTTCTTTTTTCTCGACATTTTATAATTATTATATTGATCTTCTATTAAAATATTTGATATTTATTTGTGACTACTACAGTCAAATTGGTAGTTCAATTTTGCTTTTCATTGATAATTTTATTATCATACATTGAATATTATTAAAATATCAGATATTTTTTGTTACTGGTGTTATTAGATTGGTAATCAATTATTGCTTTTGTTGAACAACTGTATGCTTATTGTATTGAATTCTGTTAAACAGTTTGATACTCGTTTGTTACATTGTTCTCAAACTGATAGTAAGTTTTTTTTCCTCCGATAATTTAATTATTATTACGTTTAGTAATATTACCACATTGGATATTTCTTTGTTACTGGCGTGATTAAATTGATTATTAACTTTTGTTTTTCATTCATAATTAATTCCATCATCATTACATTAAATAGTATTACAACATCAAATATTTATTTGCTACTGCTATTGTCAGATTGATCATATTTATTTTTGCTCGCCAATTTATTATTATATATTAGATTATATTAAAACATTTAGTATATATTTGTTACTATTGTTATCAAATTGATAATAAATTATTATTTTTCTTCGATCATTTCATTATTATTACATTTCTTAATATTAGAACATTCAGTATAATTATTTTATCGAATATTCGTTTGTATTTATTGTTTGATTGGTAATAATTGTATATTGTTTTTGGATCAAAATTTCGTTTATTAATATACCATCATTTTCATCATAATGTCTGGTTTTGACTCTGACGCGGAAAATATACCTTTACCAACACCGAAAGAATTAAATGTTACTCCATCTAAGTCCTGAAATTCAGAGAAGGAGCATTATAAAACTCAAAACATTGAGAAATTATTAAAAATGTCTGTTAATTCAAAACAATACATTGTTCAAAAAAATTCATCCCAGTTAATTAAATCTGATGCGTGGTGTAAATTTGGATTTCCTGCAAAACTTCGAACTGGTGGTGTCTATGATATTATACCTGGTTTTGTTTCCTGCTTGGATTGTTTTAGAACTCTTCCGTATGATGGTAGGACTAAGTATATGATTAAACATGCCTGTGTAGTTGCTTCTGGATCTAGCACAGAACCAGCAGTAAATAAAGGAATGATAGACAATTATTTACTTAAAAAACCTGCCATATCAAAGCAAGATAAAGAAAAAATGAAGGAAAAATTTGTTATTTGGTCTTGTTCATCTATACGTCCTTTCAGCATCATTGAAGATCCAGGATTTATAGATATTCTTAATGAAGGTATTCGAATAGGTAGATAAAAAATTGTGTTTTGAATTAATGATAAATTTTTTTTTGTAGGTCAGAAATATAGTGGTCATATAGATGTAGAAGAACTTGTTGTGTCAGCTAAAACAGTTGGGAACAATGTGGCAATAATGGCCGAAAAATATCGAAATCTTTTGAAGCCAATTTTGATAAAGCAAGCAGATGATGGCTGTCTTTGTATTGCACCTGATCTCTGGACAGATAAACGTCGTAAAATTGCATATATTGGTATAACATGTACATTTGTTAATGATCAATTTAAACCTGAAACTATTGATTTATGTTGTTCTGAATATGATGAATATGATAAAACTGGAGCAAGTGTATATCTGGTGAGTTGATTCTTTCCAAGTATGCTTCTAATACACCATTCAATTCTGATATATTTAGGCTATTCGTAAACAACTAAAGCTGTTTGATTTGGATTTTTATTTTGATAATAAAAAGTTATTGTTTATATCTGATAGAGGTTCAAACATTAGGAAGGCTCTTGAAGGCCAAGATGTCTTATTTTGTTTTGGTCACAGAATAAATAACATCCTTCAAAAAGCCTTCTATCAGATAAAATCAACAAAAGAAAAAGAATTAGAAACAACAACAACAACAACAACAACAACAACAACAACTGTATCGAAAAAACGACGTATTAAAGAACTTGATTCATCTGATGAAGAGAATAGTTCTGATGATGATGAAGTTTATAAAAAACCTTCACCATCTAAACAAATAGAAGCGACAACAAGTTTATCTTCATTACCGGTTAAATCAAAAGAACTACTTGATACAATATCGGCATCAAAATCAATCGTGAAATATGTTAAATTGGTTAGGAATATTTTTTTGTAAAAAGTTAAAGTATGCATCTTTTTTTTAGACTAATATCAACTATGAAATTACGTTAAACGATGGTGTTGCTTTACAGCAATCCACCATTACCAGATGGATTTCGTTATCTTCACTGCTGAAAACAGTTGAAGCATCACTTGAACACGTTAGATCGATTTTATCAACAAAAACTACTGCAGAAAAACAGAAATTAAATATTAATAGAATAAATCTCGAAGGATTAAGAGACTTGGTAACATTATTGAAAATATTTGAAGATGTGATTAAGTTGATCCAACATGGTGATCGTCCAAGTTTACACATGGTTTATGTAGGGTTAAATAAACTAAAGTCACATTTATCTGGTGAAGATATTGATTGTAATGGAGAACAAATTATTATTGATGATAGACATGAAGGTACCAAAAATTTTTTAAACTATATTTAACCATATGTTTCAAATTTATTATTAGGTACTAATTTTTTTCGTAAACGCTTAAAGCAGCTGCTAATGGTTATGTTTCAACTAGACAAAAAGCATTTAGCAGGCGCACTGCTTCATCCACTTTATAGAAAATTAACTTTCGTCAATGATTATCAAAGAAGTAAAACTCATATTTATGTACGCAAATTATTAACCGAATTATATGGTTATGGAACGCATCAACAAGGAAATAATCATTTATCTGCTTTTGGTGAACCAGTAAAGAAAAAACATCGAACTATTGAAGATCAATTCATAGATCCTGATGATGATGATCAAACTTTTATATCAGATGGTACAGCAACAAATCCAACTATTGATGAATTAGACAAGTATTTAAAAATGTCAATTGATGATCAATATAAAGTATCCAATCCATTAATTTTTTGGCAGAACTATCAAGATAAACTTCCTTATTTAGCAAAACTAGCACGACGGTTGTACTCTATTCCTGCAACATCAGCAGGTGTGGAAAGACAGTTTAGTGCTAGTGGTCTATTAATTAATGAACGAAGATCATCATTAAATCCTGATACAGTTCAAAATGTATTATTTATTCGATCTATTCAAAGAGCACTTAAGAACAACCCAAACATGTTTTCTCTTTAAAAATAACATTTTCTTCTTCATTGTATTTGTACTTGTGTATTCTTTTTTTGTTGTTGCTTCAATCAGTAATTTAATAAAATTTTTCATTGTACATCGATGACTAGAATTATTTTATTTTTTTCATAATTTTCTAATGATTCATAATAAAATAGCTAATGGATTCTATTTTTAACGCACTCATATGAGCATAAAAATTCTAGCAATAGGTTGGTCGGGCCGGGCCGGGCGGGCAATGAAAATTAGTTGGGCAGACCGGCCCGGCCCAGAGTTTAAATTTAATTGGGCCGGGCGGGCTTACCAAATTTAAGGCCCAGTGTGAGCCGGGCTGGGCCATGAAAAAGTGGCCCGTTTCGAGTCCTGGTAGATTATCTACTTAGCAGATTCATTTACTTTATCGATTTGTGTTATTTCGTTATTAGAGCAGAGTTCGATATGGTAAAGCCAAACACTACGAAAAAATAGCATATTTCTCTATTATATTATTGAAGCAAGGGAATTCGTTCAGCCAGAAAAAAACCATCAGGCTACAAACACACATTTGCCTACAATTACATATCAGTTGGGACAGCTCAGGTATCAAAGTTCTTTAAAGTATCAAACGGATAAATTATGGACAACCGTAAGATTGATACTACATACAGTCGAGTACGAGATCAGTTCATTACGTGAAATTACAAAGTCGCGATCGATGAATCGACTAAAAAGTCACAAAACCAATGTCTCTTAATTGTTTCATAATATGTCAATCATTTTCGGTTCCATTCGAATTCGTGCTGATTGACGACCAGTATAAAATATGAGAAATACTCGTCGTCACTACTATTTCTCATATTTTAGACTGGTCACTCAACAATCCGGATATTAATCCCATTGAAAATGTTTTGAATGTGTGAAACATAGAGTAGGGAAAATAAAAATAAAAAATACAAGTAAACTGAAAACTTTTTACAAGCTAAAACTGAACTCATATGAAAAAATAATTTGTAATTAGTTTTACAAATCGCATTAAAAAAAGATGCAATTAAGTTTTTGAAGTAAAAGAAGAGGGAACACAATACTGAACGGGATGTTGTTAACCTATGAACTATTGTGCATGAAATATCGAAACATTTTTTTCAAGACGATTAACTCAGGCGTTAATATAAGCCAAATGTTCAAGGGGGAAACTACTGATTCAACTCAGATGAAACTCAAAATAAATCACTCAAACTCAAAATAAATCACTAAACTCAGCTAAACTCATTTTAAATCAGATAAATCACCCAAACTCAACTGAAACTAAAAAATAAATCATTTTAAATGAGTGGTTTGTTTTTGAAAAAGAATTATTTTATTCTCAAGATAAATCAAACTTGATATTTTTATTCAATTACTACTTAAGATTTTGCTAACTAATTCAAATGGAGTAAAAGAAGGCATTCTATTATACAGTTGTTGAATATTATTTTTGCATCTTAGAATATAGGATATACTTCTTATTGTTAAACTAAGTTAGAAAAAATGCGATTTGATTAAAAGGGACAGATTCTGATGAATAGTTTTTCTTTCGTCTTTGTCCAGATTAAAATGAAACAGAGAAAAAGAAAATTCAATCTATGCCCTGCATCTAGCTGAAATAAAATTATCGAAAATAATTCTTGTTGTATTTCTCTTTTATTGTTCTTTAGATTGATTATTTTCATCTGAACGTCTCTTGACTGTAAATAGGAACGGCGCGAGGAGATCAGAACAGGAGGAGGCTTTTTCAAAAATGAGAGAATAGTGTAAATAAACTTAAAAATACCTGGAAGCAGTCGAAATCAGGAAAAAAGACGTAACGTCAAGTTTTCAGTGAATTAAGAAAATCACAAACGATTGCCAATTTCCATTGATTTTTATAAAAAAAAATTAAACATTTAGGTGATTTTAAAAAGTCGCACAGTAGTACTAGCTCTTTGTTGGGCAGCGAAAACGCTAATGACACAAAATATAGAAGTATGGCATGAGTTTCGCTCACGCTGCGTGAAAAAAATGAAGAAAAGGACTGTATTGTGATGATAGGATATCAATTTTGACTTTTTTCCCTTTCATCGATGAAAGACAACATTTCCATTGAGAACATTACAACTGTCTAATGTTTAATCAAAGTCAAGATACGTATTATTTCGATGAGAAGGTTCCTTCTCATGGATTAAACTGAAAAGCTAGAAATATCACTTACGTTTCATCATTTAAATTACGTTGTTTTAACTTTTCAAGTCACTACACTAGTGTGTGATATTAAACATGGTATCTTAGTTTTCAGTTCTGCGTAGTGATAAGAAACCAAGGAGGAAACGACTGATTTAAATCATCCCTAAATCAGTCAAGTCATCATACATCAGCTGATTTTTAGTGAGTTTGAATGAGTTTCGACGAGTTCGAGTGACTATT